CGCTCTCGAGTCGCGCAACGTCGTGGTGCTCTAGTGTAGCGCGCTCTAACGTCGCAGCGCTCTTGAGTCGCGCGCGCTAACGTCGCAGCGCTCTTGAGTCTGGCGCGCTAACGTCACCGCGCTCTCGAGTCGCGCAACGTCGTGGTGCTCTAGTGTAGCGCGCTCTAACGTCACAGCGCTCTTAAGTCGCGCGCGCTAACGTCGCCGCGCTCTCGAGTCGCGCAACGTCGTGGTGCTCTAGTGTAGCGCGCTCTAACGTCGCAGCGCTCTTGAGTCGCGCGCGCTAACGTCACCGCGCTCTCGAGTCGCGCAACGTCGTGGTGCCCTAGTGTAGCGCGCTCTAACGTCGCAGCGCTCTTGAGTCGCGCGCGCTAACGTCGCCGCGCTCTCGAGTCGCGCAACGTCGTGGTGCTCTAGTGTAGCGCGCTCTAACGTCGCAGCGCTCTTGAGTCGCGCGCGCTAACGTCGCCGCGCTCTCGAGTCGCGCAACGTCGTGGTGCTCTAGTGTAGCGCGCTCTAACGTCGCAGCGCTCTTGAGTCGCGCGCGCTAACGTCGCCGCGCTCTCGAGTCGCGCAACGTCGTGGTGTTCCAGTGTAGCGCGCTCTAACGTCGCAGCGCTCTTGAGTCGCGCGCGCTAACGTCGCCGCGCTCTCGAGTCGCGCAACGTCGTGGTGTTCTAGTGTAGCGCGCTCTAACATCGCTGCGCCCTTGAGTCGCGCGCGCTAACGTCGCCGCGCTCTCGAGTCGCGCAACGTCGTGGTGTTCTAGTGTAGCGCGCTCTAACGTCGCAGCGCTCTTGAGTCGCGCGCGCTAACGTCGCCGCGCTCTCGAGTCGCGCAACGTCGTGGTGCTCTAGTGTAGCGCGCTCTAACGTCGCAGCGCTCTTGAGTCGCGCGCGCTAACGTCACAGCGCTCTCGAGTCGCGCAACGTCGTGGTGCTCTAGTGTAGCGCGCTCTAACGTCGCTGCGCTCTTGAGTCTGGCGCGCTAACGTCACCGCGCTCTCGAGTCGCGCAACGTCGTGGTGCTCTAGTGTAGCGCGCTCTAACGTCGCTGCGCTCTTGAGTCTGGCGCGCTAACGTCGCCGCGCTCTCGAGTCGCGCAACGTCGTGGTGCTCTAGTGTAGCGCGCTCTAACGTCGCAGCGCTCTTGAGTCGCGCGCGCTAACGTCACCGCGCTCTCGAGTCGCGCAACGTCGTGGTGCTCTAGTGTAGCGCGCTCTAACGTCGCTGCGCTCTTGAGTCGCGCGCGCTAACGTCGCCGCGCTTTTGAGTCGCGCAACGTCGTGGTGCTCTAGTGTAGCGCGCTCTAACGTCGCTGCGCTCTTGAGTCGCGCGCGCTAACGTCACCGCGCTCTCGAGTCGCGCAACGTCGTGGTGCTCTAGTGTAGCGCGCTCTAACGTCACTGCGCTCTTGAGTCTGGCGCGCTAACGTCACCGCGCTCTCGAGTCGCGCAACGTCGTGGTGTTCTAGTGTAGCGCGCTCTAACGTCGCTGCGCTCTTGAGTCGCGCGCGCTAACGTCGCCGCGCTCTCGAGTCGCGCAACGTCGTGGTGCTCTAGTGTAGCGCGCTCTAACGTCGCTGCGCTCTTGAGTCGCGCGCGCTAACGTCACCGCGCTCTCGAGTCGCGCAACGTCGTGGTGCTCTAGTGTAGCGCGCTCTAACGTCGCTGCGCTCTTGAGTCTGGCGCGCTAACGTCACCGCGCTCTCGAGTCGCGCAACGTCGTGGTGCTCTAGTGTAGCGCGCTCTAACGTCGCAGCGCTCTTGAGTCTGGCGCGCTAACGTCGCCGCGCTCTCGAGTCGCGCAACGTCGTAGTGCTCTAGTGTAGCGCGCTCTAACGTCGCTGCGCTCTTGAGTCGCGCGCGCTAACGTCACCGCGCTCTCGAGTCGCGCAACGTCGTGGTGTTCTAGTGTAGCGCGCTCTAACGTCGCAGCGCTCTTGAGTCGCGCGCGCTAACGTCGCCGCGCTCTCGAGTCGCGCAACGTCGTGGTGTTCTAGTG